CTTGCCTATTCACCGGTGAGTAGGTAGGTCATCCTTACTAACAGTTGATATTGTCCAATCACAAATGCATAAATAATATGTAATTACAAAATTTAAAAAGTGATAAATAAGGAAATCAGAGAGGGTAACTAAATTTATTCCAAAAATAGTTATTATCCTTATTTATTATTTTGTAATTACAAATTATTTGTGCATTTGTGATTTGACCACATGTAGGGATGACCTACTCACCAATGAGTAGGCAAGTTTTGTCCTTTACGGTATTTAATATAATAAGTTAGTCATATGCAAGGCACATGGTTTGTTAACAGTACTTTTCTAACAGTTGACTACTGAAAAACCCTATTTTGCAACAATTTTAAATTTTTAAGGAAGTTATACCCAAAGTAAAAGAGGGGTGTTAGTTGCTTAAAAAGTAAACCTTAGTGGTGTTTTATATACTCAGAGCATCTCTAATGGTTGTCTATATATATATATATATATATTTTTTTTTTTATTTTGTAAATCTGATGTGTCATAGTAGATTTACACAAAAATTTTGGACTACTCATTTTTAGCTCTAACATTATTTTATACCTTTTGTGTAAAAATGTAACAAATAATAACCAATGACATGCCCAAGATCTCACAAAACTATTACAAACCTACTTGATATAGGGTTGATTCATTAATGGAATAAGAAAGAAGAAGGAGAGAGAAAATATGTTGATATGGCTGTGCAAAAAGATTGTGTAAAAAACATAATAATTTTACACATTAGTGAGCTGACAATGTATCTTAATATATTGCTGAAGATAAAAAAAAATATTTTATACATTGTGTATATTTTACACAAAAAGATTTTTTAATACACTCTTAGTCCACTCATGTATGATGTATAGCATTTTTTTCTTCTTCCTTTTTTTTTTTTCTTTTTTTTTTTTCCCTAAATTTCACTGGTATTTTATGAACTTAATGTTCATATTTTATATTTTAAACTTTTTTTTACTATATATCTTTTTATTAAGGTTGTTGATATTGGCGGTCCTTGAAAACAAAAAAGAAGAGTCTATTGGAGGAAAAAATGAGAAATATTTTGTTCCACCACTGAAAATTATTTGATTCTTGCCTTTCAAAGAATTTCCATAATACATCATAACAATCATTTATAGGATTTAATGACATTCTTTTAACAACATCATGCTCTACCTTCCTTTTATCTGATAATAAAATTACCAAAAGGTCCCAAAACCTATCTTCTTTTATTTTTATATTTTTAATACCATAATTACCCTTATTTATTAAGTTAAAGAGTCTTGCTAAATTTCAATTATCTTCTCTCTATTCACTCTTCCCACTGCAAATCAATGATTAATAAATAACAAAAAAACAAAAAAAAAAGTCAAATTATTTTATTTTATTTTATTTTGTCGTACTCATTCAGGGTTACGCTCCGCAATTATAAAATAAAAGAATACAAGGTAATATTTCTGAACACAACAAGCATAATACACAATAGGATCTGCAACCTACATACAATCTGTGGAACTTCTGGGTTGGTGATTGTAAACTCCGCGATGAAGATGATGCCTCACTGCTCTGTGGGATGTCGGAGATTGCAGCCAAATTCCGGCTAATGCTACCATAACGAGCAGGTTTGAAACTAAGCGAAGCCATCTTCTTCTTCTTCGAGAAAACGTCCGATGAATTGGAGAGGATCAAACAAACCAGAGCTTGAACAAGCACAAAAACAACTACCTTCATCCCCATATCTTCCATTGACATCTCCAAGGAAAGTCTTGTGTAGTACTTCAGTTTCATGAGGAAAGCAATGTGACCCCCAGATCTAAACTGGCCAGAATGCATGGGAAACACATACATAGACGTTACGTTTTGAATTGAAAAAGGTAAAGCAGTGGCATCCTAATCCATTGGGGCAAATTATAAAATCTCTCTACAGATATACACATATTACATTTTTACTTATTAGTTACTACATATTTTCATACGGCAAAACCATGCGTATATATTTGTAAATAAAAAAAGGTCAACTGTGACACGGGTTAAAAATATATTTTTGTGAAAATAATAAAAATACTCCCACTCAAATTTTAATGAATAACCCATTATATATTATTGTTGTTCAAGATGGCCCCATTTCATATAATACTCTTAGCTGCGAAATGTATACTTTCTCACCGCAAAACATCCTTGTGCAACTAGTAATCTGCCTAGTCAGCCAATAGCCAACCCGAAAGAACAGACTTACATGATTGATGATGCCATCCTCGACGCTTGCCTAGAATAATATTTAGAAAATAAAGTTGCCTGTGAGACCTGCACGAAAACTAACATGCTTATGATGCCGAGTGCACGGTGCACTAGTTCATTTGATTCATACGTACACAATATGTGTTTGCGCGTGCACCTAATTTAAAATTACATTGATCTCAAATTAGATGTCCTCTTTGAGAATCGTAACTCACACAAATTGTGAACCACGATTCTCCAAATCAGACACCTTTTTTTAAAATCCAAATGTATACGATTCAGAGATAGTACATTCTTTTTTTTGTCTATCCTGATAAGAAAACAAGTCATACGCCATAGGACATCTACATGCAAGATCATCGAAAGACATGTAACTAAATACACATTTAACATGAATAGGCACAGAACCAACCAAACCTAACTAGATCAGACTCTTGACAAACCAAGGCAGAGGTGTCAATTATAGTTGAAGAACCATCACCACAAGATAAAGAAATATGAACCACCAGACACAACCCCCCAAGATAGAAACCCGCACCGCCATACACAACTTCCAAAGATACTGACGGATCCAAACAGTCTAAACCAGAATCGTATCCACTACGCCAAGCCAACGAAACCACACGCGTCATAACTTGTCTTACAAAGGAAAGCTTCAAATCAGTAAAACTGACACCTCGAAAAGAGATTTGTAGCACCGCCTTAGAAAGTGGTTTAAGGAAGTCAAGGGAAGGGCCCCACAGCAAGCAAGGAATATCAGCAAAAACATGGAGACACCTCAGGCATGACGTCACAAATTCGGCGTCCAAAAAGTCAGTAGCCGACCACCAAAGCCGACGCAGCCAAAATACTCCGATCACTCCCATAGAAGCAGCCAGGACAACAAACTACAACAGAAAATGCATCAACATGAAAGAGACGCACCATCGCCAATTACGCCCAACAAGAAGGCTCCATACAGGATAAACCTTACATATCCACGGCCAACACCCCAAGATTTGTAAAACAATAAGGTCCAGCCACTGATTTGACCCCGCCGCAAGACTGCCGTACTTAAATCTCCACCTTGATCGTTCCAGAGACCACCACCACCAAATTTCTGCCCAACCAGAACAGCGCCGCACCGTCCAAAAAAACCCCATCATCAACCAGCCCACAGACAGTTGTGGAAACCTGCGCCGCCAAGATCGCGTCCCCAAGCGACTTGCGAACAAAGACAGTGGATGCCCAATCAGCCCATCAGAGGCAAACAAAAGAAAACACAACCCTACCCAAAACCAAACAAAAACCACAACAACGGCAAAGAACTGATATGGAAAATACCAGATGGAAAATAAAACTTAATACATAACAACGGCAAGGAACTCCACCAAAGCCACCAAAATATGGTAAACTGAGCAAACACAAGGCAAAATCTAGAGTAACTACAGACCGACGCCATATTACTTAAAGCAGAGCAACCGACAACTATTATTATTATTATTATTAGTATTATTATTTGATTTTATTTGATTATATTTTATTTTTTTAATGAGAATACTGACCAAAATAAGACAGACTGATTAACAACAAGCAAGAGCAAGCATTGAACCAAGACCTAGAATCCCAAAAGAAGGATACAACTCACCGACAAAGGAGAAAGACTATGAAAAAGAAAGACTGACCCGACTAAAGATGAGGAAGAAACACGAACTATCTACCAACAATTCACTCTAATAGGTGTAGAAATTTCTTAGGTAAAGAGATCGAGCGCTATGAGAAGTAGACCATCATAAGAAGGTGAAGAAGAAATATAGAGGAGAGAGGAAAGAGAAAGAAAAAACTCGAAGAAGGTCGAGAACCTCTGCACAGAGAGGAACCGCTACAGCGAGAGGAACCGTTAGGGATTAGTACATTCTATGAGAGTTGTGAGATGAAAAAAGTTACGACTCCAATAGTGTGTCCATTATGTTACGTCTGTTACAGCTCATGTCCACATCACCACACCCACTACCATCATGGCAGCCCGTCTATTATCAAGATACAGTGAGAGTTACGAAACTCTAGTGTGCGTTCATTGTGTGCCCATTTACTCTCATGCAAAAACAATCATAAAAGTTATTGATTGTTCTTTGATTTGTTTCTTTGTCCACAAATAAAATAAAACATATTCTTCACGTACACATTTGTGCTTCGAACGCTGTTTCAGTTGTTTTCCTGTATCAGCTGTTGAAGTTTGAGTATGTGCTTGCTTGACGGAGAGAGAGAAAAGAGAAAAAAAAAAAAAAAAAATTATCTGAAAAATAATCTTTTAATGGGTAGTCTGAAAAATTCCCCCAAACAATCATAAACTAAAAACATCCCCTTTAGATAATTGAGGGGAGTTTTTCTACCAAAAATATTCATCTATTTTCATTCAATTAAAGCCAAGTTAACAAGGAACATCCTTCTTGATCTTCTACCCACGCGAGCATGTTTAGTTGCCCCTTAGCCATCAAGTTTTAGCTATCCCATCAAATATCAAATCACAAGAGTATAATACAATTTATATATTCAAAACCCATGTCATTGTTCCCGACACTTGTAAACATATTCGGGATTATTTATACTCAAATCGGGTCATTCGAAACACTTTTAAAGCAAACAAGTTCCTAAAGCACGAGCACAACCTCACTGTGCTATATATATATATATATATATATATATATCGTAAAGCAGTGGCATCCTAATCCATTGGGGCAAATTATAAATTCAAACATTTCCAACACAGCTGAGCAAGAAAAAATTTCTTTATATTTGATATTAGAAGAGGACATTTACATCCAAAAGCGTAAATGGCTAAAATAGCTAAAAAGACTTTTCCAATAACTTATATGTACACACATGAAATCAAGAAGTAAAAGACACGTCAATATAACCATTACTTGTCGTTCCACCATCACCACCATCAACGGCGGCTCCGCCACTACCAGACCAAACCCTACTCCACATATACGAATTTCTATCTCAAGACACGGTTCTCACCCTCCAAACCCTACCCGAACCCACCAATTCCACACCTCCAACTACATCGACGACGAAGACCACTTGAACTCCATCGTCGATTGCATCGATTCGCTACCAATCCTCAAATTTTTTGCTGTTTCTTCATCCAATTCTTGCCCTAGATCCTGCTCAATCTGTATGGATGACTTTGAATTTTATTCAGAGGTGAATCAATTATATTCGAATTTTATCTGCTGCTCAACTATAGAGAAAGACCCATGCAGACTGCAGAGTGATAGTAGTGTTGTCTTCAGGTCCAAATTTGCATCTTGTTCGGGATAATTGAAGTGAATTAACCAGAAGAGACTTTCCAAAGAGACAGTACATATACTGCAAATTGAAGAGCCAACAAAACAGTCATGCGAGTGAATTTTATTATCCCATATCATGGTAAATATCATACTCTCAAAATAAAAATAAAAATAAAATACAGGTAATAGATGTAATCATAAGAAGAAAAAAGGCGACACAATAACAAAGCAACAGTAGTAATTCTTTCAATTTTCTTCTCAAATAAGAATCAAATAACAAACCCACCCGTTCCTTCTAGACACGATACCTACAATTTGACCACTGCTCTACAATTGCCGTTAAACATCACCAGTAATTTTAAATTAATGTTTTGAGTTTTGAACATGTTACAGACTAAATCTTCCATTTTGAACCCTGAAAAAAATTAAAATTTTTTTTGGCTTATGGCAATCAAAATCCTATAACAGTCGAAGTTTGGTGAATAAATTCAAAAGAGGTTCCCAGGCGTTTGGTGATACATAGACTGATGGGGGATTTAAAAGTTAGGTTACTTTTAGGTAGAACACAAAGGTTGAGAGCCATGCAATTTGATTGTCAATTTAATGGGGAAAGAGAAGTTTAGATTAAGAGGGTTTCTTTCCTGAACACCTTAAAGTTGCCACCTTAAAAGACCAATTCTAGAGAATTTCTGAATTCCTTCTAAACCTAGGAGTCACATTTTACAAAAGATCGAATGGCCAGATTGAAAAAAAACTAGGAAATAAAGTTGTAAAACCAAAAACAAAACAAGAGCCGCACAGCTGCTGTGGGACCCATGACACGCCTAGGTCCCCACACAACAACTATTTCTTCTTGCCGCCTTGGTGTTCATGAATTTAAAATTTTTCAAAAACATTTTTCTCGCCACAAACTTCTAAAATTCAACTTGACACTCCAATTCTCAGGATCCATGCATTGTTAAAAAGTTTAGATAGTCTTGGTCAAAAAGCTACAATTATTTTCAAAGAAATGCTTAAACTAGTGCAAATGGGTTGCTAGAAATATCATTTTAGGTGAATCACTTACATGCACCCTGGCACTTATCAGACTGACACCTACCATGCATTGTTGGAAAGTTCTCATCTCCTGCTTCCTAAATATCACACGTGATCAACTCTAGGGTTCTAATCCAAGTCACGTTACTCACAGAACTACTTAAGGGATTGGTTTCTCTCAAGCTTTGTGTGCAAATAAACTGATTGAGAACAAATTCGCCTGCAATTCGCAGATCCGCATGGAAGGAATTGTTCCATTTACTTCAAGCAAGCATAGGGGTGTTCAGATCAAGGTACTTAATACTGAACTACTCTTTCATACGACTATTGCACAGAATTTTTTACTAACCGCGTTATTTTTTATTGCATTAAATCAATAATAAATAATTACATGGGTTTAGTGCAAAAAAACCCCTCATAATATACAAAAATGTGCAATTACCCCCCTATTGTTCGGAAAACCCCCTACTTTTTTCAATTTGTGCAAATAAGGACAAATCATAATTTTGACAGTAAAATTACTAAATTAACCTTACTTTATCATTAGCAAAACAAAAAACACCAAAAAAAAAAAAAAAAAGAAGCAAAAGGTAAAATGTCAAAATTAGCCTTAAATTCATATTTTCCATCTTCGTCTGCCATAAAATAAACCCATACTCTATATGTCCATAAAATAAACCCACTGTTTAACTACGCACCCACCAGCATCTTTTATTCCATATACATAAATAAACCCAACTATTTATAAATGATTGAGACAACGTTGCTTAAGTAGTAAGTAATGATATGTCGTATTCGTGCTCAAAGTTAAAATTCGAAGGAATATGTAGATGTAAAAATTTGCAGATAAAAACTAAACAAGTCCACACAAATGAAATACTTATAAAATTGATCCAAACTTCCTAATATTGCTTTGACGTGACCTCATCTGAATACAAAAAGTAATTTTCTATCTAAATTTTCCACTATTTTTTATATATCCCTTTTTTTATGATTTCTATCTATTTATACCGAAAATTTGTAACTGGTTCTTAATTTTTTATCTTGATCTTCTTGAAGAGATTGGAATTGGATTGATGATTTTTTGGAGCAGGTCAAGCAACGTCTTCCCAGTTGTGCTCTCTGGCTCTCTTCGGATGCTATGAAATTTCTTGGGGCTTGGTGCTTTATTTTAGAGAGAGATACTTACTATCAACAACACAGAAATTTTAAAGAGAGAAAAAATTTAGAGAGTAATTATATTTTCTTATAGAAGGAGAGTTCTAGGAGTGGAAGGAAAATATATAGAAGTTATAGAATTAGAAAAGAATATTTGCAAGAAAGATCATGTATATATATATATATATATATATATATATCTTTATTGAAATAAATAATATTCTAAAAAAAATAAAAATGATGTATAGATGCCAGAATCTCACTCGACATACCAAATAAAATATAGTATCATAAAAAAATAAAAATGATGTTTTCTTGGAAACAAATCGTGGCAACATAGAAATATTTTCGAAAGAGAAAAATAATATTAGAGAGAATATTTCCTTGGATAGGTCTTCAAGTACATCCAAATAAACCCATTCGCTGTTCAAATATATACAAAATTGGTAGAGGCATTCTTGTTACACAAAAAGGGTACTTTCGGATTTTCAGAAAAATAATGACATCACCAACGGCTATTTTTCATCATATTTTTTGCACTTAACCCTAATTACATTTATATATTTATATGTACTCTTTGGATTTGACTTATTGAAGAAATTGGATAAAGAAATAATACGTAATAAGTTAATATTATCATATATTAAGGAGAGTAAGTACAAATATAAACGCGGTGTACTCAAGAGAGGCTCTCAAAACTTTTTAAACATTGGTGCTCTCCTCTGCTCCTGCTCCTGAAGCAGTTTTGACTCTTGATTAGAGATGAGAGTGGGGCAGCAGACACTGTTAGTGGGACAGTAGCTACTTTATAGGATGCCGGATAGAATAGGGGGGCAACTTGACACAAAAGGGCTACATAAGAGAGAGAGGGGAGGGGTACCACTACCTACTGGGGTCCGGAGAATTAACGGGTAGATGTCACAGATGGTAAATCAATTTCTTCGTGAGTAGGAAGATTTTCAATTCAAAAGGATGAAATTTGAATAGCACCTCCACTCATATAGTTGGTAAGACCGGAACCCAAGGCTTTGACAGAGAGTCACATGAGGTCACTAACTTAGACCTAAAGGGGAGTGAATAGATCTTGTAAAACTAATTAACTGTTTTAACTAATTTTTAATTTTTTTTATAAGTATTTTAAATAATTTTTAAATTAAAACAGAATCAGGGGCGGAGCTCCCCGTGGGCTAACCTGGGCTACAGCCCAGGTCCAAAAGAAAAAAAATAATAATAATAAGTAGTACTTTTATTTTCTATTAGTTATAGTCCAGCCCGGGCCAGTCCAAGCTGCCCAATCCATAATAAAACATAAATGATAAATGACCCAGCCCAAAAAACAAGCCTACAAACCAATTAGAACTAGAATATTGAAGCAAACCTAGGGGCTGTTTGGCATGATGTGGTATTGTTTTTGGCGTTTTCATCTTCTTTGCTTAAATTTTTTTTTTCCCCTAGTAAATTCTCTGCTTGAATTTTTTCTTTAGCCCCCCTATTTTCAAATCCTGGCTCCGCCCCTTAACAGAATTAACTGAAATTCAATCTTAAAAAGCTAGCATGCGGTAAAAACTTTAAGCATTCCAAAGCAATAATAAACAGTAGCCACTAGATCTTTACGTGAAAATTCTAAAAGGGAAAAATGACGGAACCTGGACCAAGCAAACCAAATCCATTATCAGGAAAGAAGATTTACAACCTATGTTGACAGACTCTACCCCAAGGATCATTAAATTACCTCCTTGGCATAGAATACTCTAAAAATTTTCTCTTAAAAAGTCTCCGGGCAGCTCTTCTGCTCATCAACAGAGTTTGCTCCTCACGAACCTACTTATCTAGTGAAATCTGTCTCAACCACTCAGATGTCAATCTGGTTTTGGATTGTACAGTAGCGTTGAAATAATCTTTTGAGTATGCAACAATTGATGTCACATTCACCAACTCATGCAGATGAAAAATGTAAAACAAAATAGAGATGCACTCAAAACTCACAAAATATGCTCTCAATATGTTGTTCTATGTGTATGAGAGATCTCTATAAGTTTGCCCTAGTATTATGCATTTATAGACAGCAAAGTAGTAGAGAAAGGTTAAGTTTTTGCAAAGTTTAAAAACCAAGTTGGAAACTATTGTCTAGAAAAGCTCGATCAATCAAGATTGACATATTGATGTCAATCTATCAACATCTCTCCAGAAGGCTTTGATCCATACCTCAATCTATCGAATTCTCCGGCAGGTGTAACTTAAACATGTTCATCATTAAGGAAGTTTCCAAAATCTTTTCCATGCAAGTTTCTAGCAATTTAGGGAATCTGATTAATTGAATTAACGTAAACACCGAAACCCTAGATATGCAATTCACAAACCCTAATTGGTGAGTGCATCAGTGTGTCACTTTACCTTTACACCCTTGTAGACAAAGATTACCAATATACCCTTGAATACATCACGAATCTCATATTTGACCTTGGGAGGTAACTAACACCAACTAACTTTTGAACAGTTTCAAAACTAAATTAAAACAAAATACAGACTCAGGTTTGTTCTACAAAATTTGTCATCCTAAGTCCTAATGACCTAACACACTCCATTAGATCGAACCAAAAGACATGTCTAAATTAGCCAACAAAATTGAAATTAAACCCTTTAGGGCTAGTATTGTAGCAAATAAAAATGGGGTTACACGTTTGTGCCATGTGAACTAACAATAGTAATTAAAGGTTATAAAGGTACATGAAGAACAGCTTGAAGGACATGATTTATGGAGAATATACAGAGTAAGAGAAACATTTTTTCTCAAGAACTCACACAGTTGTAAAATCAAGCAAGCAACTCTGTTCTACACTCATCAGCTCAACAAAATGCAGAGGACTCAATGGATCTTTGGCATTATGACATACTTTGCTTTAAATAAAAAAACCATATAGCTAACAGAAACAAATGCAAAGAAATGATAATGGAGACCACATGCAGAACCTGCACATTAAAACAATTAAATCAATGCAAGACATTCACCTTCTAGTCATCATATGATATTCAATTCAGAAGATTTCAGTCGTTTCACGATTCTAAACCCCAACTATTGTATTTAATTTTTTTGCTAATTATGGTAAGTGCCTGAGATTTTAATCAAAGATTTGAAACTCGATCATAATATTCAACTTCTAAAAAGTGATGTAAGAATACTCTTATGGTCCATTTGGGTATCTCTTGACTTTCAATGATATCATTCCCAATCTACTTAGAATTTTAGTGTAAAACTCCCATCATCTTGAATGGAACCATAAATAAAAATAAGTTACTTTACAATATTGTTTTCACATAAGTTCATTTTTGAGGTGGCTACTATTTTCTTAGATGGATCCATTCACAACGCTAAGTCACTACATTGGAGTACTATGTAAAATTGTGAACGAATCCATTCGATTCAAGCATACATATAAAAGCTGTTAGAAATTTAAGATAACTGAATATCAGATTCAATGAATAGCTTTGGACTGAACCAGCGGCCAGTGAAGTTTCAGTACATCCAGGGATGACCATGACACCCACCCCCACGCCCACCCAAAAAAAAATTCGTTAATAACCCTAAATAGTAATTAATTCGGAATTGGAAGAAATTCAGTAATAATATGTGCTCCTAAACATATTATTATATTAATTCAATAGAGAGAAAAAAAAAAAAAACAGAAGACGAAGAAGATAAAAATCTCTAATATTCCCTCATGATTAATAAAAATGCATGAACCTTTTTTTGTCAAACCTTTTTGTAAAATGGTGTTTACAAAAAATATCTAAAATTATATATCAATCTCCATTGAGGAGTCCTAGGAGCATGGGAAAGAGGATAAACTATAGTATTTGTGTGTATGTCAACAACAACAATAATATCATATTATCATATATGCTTATATTTTCAAATTTAATTTACATAGTACGAATCTGACCCCCCAAATTAAAATTCCTGGCTCCGCCAGAATACATCGACCTAGAAAATCAACATCAAGCTAGCTACCGTCTCTTCAACACTTGGCCCAATATAATAGGGCATGACTAGGTCAGTTTCTAGTGCCATCTATTATTTCTAAATAACAGCAACTGTTGCTATCACAACTTTACTCTTTTTCAGTAAAATTTTCTGTCATAATAGCAACTGTTGCTATCACAAATTGACTCTGTTTCAGTAAAAAAATTCTGACTTGTCCATGTCCTAGGTTTAAACAAGGCAATACATTTTTTTTTTTTTTTTGCTGATAAGTTTAAACAATGCAGTTGATATAGATGAGAATTCGTGTTATCCTTCTAGTTAACATATCAAAGATACCAACTATTCTGTAGTTCCCAAACCTAACCATAAATACAACATAAAATTCTTTTAACTGCATGTTATTTCAACCAAAAGCTCAACTACAGTCAATCACTACAACATAAAATTATTCATAAAATTCTTTCAATTTCTACCCAAGATTTACAACTACAATCACTTAGAAATTTCACATAACCATATATCGTATTCCACTAATGTCATCTCTCATATAAAAAATTAATACAAGTATCAAACACAGAAGGTCACGAAGAAAACATACCAAAAAGACTGTAGCATCACTCTTCCTTTGCACCAAAGGGCTTGAAACCGAGTCCTCACTATTTCCAGCCGCCTCCAAACCACTCCCAATCTGCCCGTTACACGACGAAGACGACCGCATCCTTGCCTGAACAAACCCATTCCTTAACATTGCATCATGAAAACCACTCTCCTGATCCTCACCCCACCCCTCCACATGCACATCCCCCAATCTCAACTCCGCCGGTAACTTGTACCGACACAAGGGACACGAATTGCTCCTACTAAGCCACGGAACGATACAATCTGGATGAAAAACATGCTTTCACGGCAATTGATTCACCTCTGAATAAAATTTAAAGTCATCCATACTGATTGAGCAGGATCTAGGGCAAGAAATGGATGAAGAAACAGCGAGAAATTTGAGGATTGGAAGCGAATCGATGAATGGTTTGGAGGTAGGGGATGACCGGTTGCTTTGGTGTTCGTGGTGTTGATTGGCGATGCGACCGAAGATGGAGTTCAAGTGGTCTTCGTCGTAGGAGTCGATGTAGTCGGAGGTGTGGAGTTGGTGGGTTCGGGTAGGGTTTAGAGGGTGAGAACCGTGTCTTGAGATAGAAATTCGTATATGTGGAGTAGGGTTTGGTCCGGTAGTAGTGGAGCCGCAGTTGATGGTGGTGATGTTCCGTTGCCGCGAGCTTGGAAAAGTGTGTGTGTGAGAGAGAGAGAGTAACTCTTGATGCTTCAGCTCCTAGTCTAATGTTGAGTCTTAGCGGACAGGTTATATGATAGTAGAGTTGCGGCAAGCTTACATTCCAAAGAAACACATTGGAACAATTTTAGGAAGGGACTATAAATAAAAAAAATTGCGATGGTACCTCCTCAACCCTCCACCTTGGGCCGAGTCCACGAATGATGGACCTGCCAAACCACAAAAAACAAAAGAAATATACACAGGGCTGAACCCAAAAGACGAAGACATTTCTAGTCTAATACAAGTGAACTAGACTATTTATGTCTAGGGCAAAAACATAACGCTTGAAGCGATCACGTTCCGGTGTGATAATTTAGGGCAAGAACCCTAGGACGCGAAATCTGATGGCTCAAGTGGCGGACGAATGAACGCTGGCAAATCCTAATCTAGCATCAGCCTTCTAGCAACGGGTGAATCTTTAACCTTAATAGATAGCAACTTTTGGCGCACCATGTCTGTGATTTGCCTAAAGATTGCATTCTGTGAGCATCTTTGGCTTGTGAAGATTCTGTTGCATTCTTGCCAAATTCTGTTGATGGCCGTGGAGAGGACTAATTTGTTCACAGAGGATCTGAGGTCCCCTCTTCGACAACGATTCGTTATCCATTCAACAAGATCCATCCACAACGATGGAGCAATATGAAGCCTGCATTTGTGCTGATGATTTGCTACTCTTCTCATATGGTGACTTATCCTCTATCTCTACCCTTAAGCAAGCTTTGGACCACTTTTCTACCATATCAGGACTGCGCATCAATTACACAAAGAGTACTTTTTTTTTGCTTCTGGGATGGAGAGCTCCCTTATCACTGCCACCATGGATATACTTGGCTTTGAGTGTGGTTCACTACCTATAAGATATTTGGGGGTTCATCTTCTCTCCACTAGGCTTAAGGCTGATGATTATAGAGGTCTTGTGGAAAGAATCACTAGAAGAATTTGTCATTGGTCTTCCAACTTCCTTTCTTATGTTGACAGGATTCAACTTATTCAGTCTGTGCTTTACAGCATGGTTAACTATTGGTCTAGCTTGTTTATTCTGCCTAAATCAATTATTGCGGAGGTCACTAATCTCATGAGGAACTTCCTCTGGTCTGGAACAGACTTTAAGTATTCTGGTGCCAAAGTCAATTAGGTTGCATGTTGCCATCCTAAGGAATTTTGAGGCCTTGGGTTCATGGATATGGAAATTGCCAACAGAATGGCTAATCTTAGACACATTTGGACACTCATTTCTAACAGAAGAGACAACCTCTGGGCCAATTAGGTGAGAACTCAGCTCATTAGGGATAGGTGTTTCTGGTCAATTTGCCCTCCTCAGGCGTGCTTAAGCAATTGGAAAAAAATTCTAAAGCTTAAAGGTATGGCCAGAGCTATGATCTTGACAAAAGTGGGGAATGGATCTAAAACCTTCTTTTGGGAGGATAACTGGTTGTAAGGGGCCTTCTCTCTATCAACACTACAAGAGATATTTTACTCAACTCACCAATCCTACCTGATCAGAGACTTGATTCTCTTTTCCATGATGGCCGATGGCATTTTCCTCAATCTATGGTTGATCTCTTTCCAGATATTATCAGCTCTCCTCCTCTGTCTGCAACTGATGACATGTATGTTTGGCTGTCATCACCTTCAGGATCATTTTCGCTTAGCCACACAATTAGATGGATGTCAACACACAGTTTCCCAAAGTCGTGGCACCATTTGATCTGGAGTCCTCTCTCCATCCCAAAGTGTAAGTTCTCTTTGTGGCTCGCTGTGCAAGGTAGACTTCCCACCCTTGATCAAAGCAGCATGAGATCATTCGCTAGGTCCAGAGTCTGTAAGCTATGTAATATGGTAGACATCTGCAACCTTTAACTATGACATGTGCAACCTTTATCTATTTTTCATATAACCTTATGTGCAATCCTTATATATCTCTTATACAAACCTTTATCTATGCTCTCTCAATTTTATCTTTCATGCAACCTTTATCTATGTTCTCTTGCTTTTTTCCATCCAAGAAAAATGCAGAATCACTGGGTAAAGTAAAGAAAATGCAATATTAACTCTTTTCATCATTATGGACTATAAAAGTGTTGCAGTTGTATGAAAAATACATAAATGTTGCACATCTCATACCTAAGGTTGCACAAAAAGTAGAGAAATGTTACATTAATCTTTTTCTATGACACGTGCAACCTTTAATTATGACATATGCAACTTTTATCTAGTTTTCGTGCAACCTTTATCTATGCTCTCTCGTTTCTTTACACATGAGGAAAATGCAGAATCACTGAGTAAAGTAAAGAAAACCCAATAAAAATACCGAAATGTTGAATAAATCATAGCTAAGGTTGCACTAATCTTTTTCTATAACTCGTGCAACATTTAACTATGACATGTGCAACCTCTTTTTATTTTCCGTGTAACCTTAGCTATGATATGTGCAAACTTTATATATCTTTAATGCAACCTTTATCTATGCTCTCTTGCTTCTTTTCACACGAGGAAAATATTGAATCACTGGGTAAAGTAAAGAAACCCAATATCAACTCTTCTCATCATTATGGACTTTAAAAGCGTTGAAAATTGCACGACTATTAGACAAAGGAGGTTACACGTATCTAGGTTGTATGAAAAATACAAAAAGGTTGCACATCTCATATCTATGCTCTCTTGCTTCTTTTCATACGAGGAAAATGCAGAATCATTGGGTAAAGTAAAGAAAACCCAATATCAACTCTTTTCATCATTATGGACTATAAAAGCGTTGCAGATTGTAGACTATTAGGTAATGTATCATATATATAATGGTTGTCTTAAAAATACAGAGAGGTTGAACATATCATAGCTAAGGTTGCACAAAAAGTAGAGAAAGGTTGCATTAATCTTTTTTTTGGTAACACGTGTAACCTTTAACTATGACATATGCAACCTTTATCTATTTTTCGTGTAACCTTAACTCTTCCTTCTACGAATTAAGCATCCCACTCCAACCCATTCTGGTCCTTCCCAATGACAAGCATCCCACCAAACCTTCAGCCACAGCCACGCATTGCCACCAATACCATCACCGGAACCACCTCCACCCCACCCACTTACCATCCACCATGAATAGTTTAAAGCTTGTGTATTGTTGATAATCATACCTTGCCTCTGATTCAATTAGACATTGGCTAGGGTTCATTAATCTCTTAAGGGCATGTTTGGACAATGCCGTTGTTCATTAACTTTTGTGCTTTCTTCATTTGCTTTGTATGCCTGCTTGGGCTTACTTTAGATCACTTTCTTTTGTAACCTTAAGGCTTTGGGCCTATCATATAGGGCTTGGGGTATGCCCCATTTGCATATGTAAATTTTTTTCATTTATGTTGTTATCCTCATTTACCGGAAAAAAAAAAAATAAAAAAATAAATAAAAATTGAGTTTGAAGTGTGCTTGGGTTGCTAGTCCCTCAACCAAAATACAATTCTAATTAAGTTCAAACTAAGATTTTTCAACTTAGGCCAGCCTTGTGTAAAAATGATAATCCAAGTCTACAACAAATTGGGTTAGGTTTGAATTGCCCATTTCAAGTAACAAAATTTATCCAACTAATACCAAAAGACATCTAGGTATAGGGACAAAAATCAGCTCCAGTGCACCTCTCACTAGAGTCTGTCCAGTGACGATCCAACGGTTCAAATCAAATCCACGTCAGCTCACTTGCTTTATCAGCACCAACTTAATGCCATCTCAGTGCCTAGTCATCTACTTAAGTAACAAAGTTACTGATATACAATTTCTTTTACTACATATACAAATACCCCATATAATATATACTTATACATTATACGTTATATAATATATCATATACAAAATTATTTTATTCCATTATACTTTACCTTTACCTTTTCAGAAATATCCATCATACTTCACCTTTACCTTTTTCAAAAAAACCTTTTAATTTCTTCTTCTTCTTCATTATTTGGTCTGGTTCATCTTTCTTCTTCTACCCCCACGATCATTTGCTCTGGTTGGTCTTTCTTCTTCTACTTCCACTGTTATATATTTCCAATCTAAATCTTGTCAAAAGCTGTGAATAGAAAGATTTACAAATTCTTTTAGTAGGGTACTATACATTTGGGAAACTTGAAATCTGAATGGCTACATCTTGTTTTCACTATATTATTTGTAGATTAAAAAAAAAAAAAAAACTAATTTCTACCGGTGGCACAAGAGTAGAAAAGAACAATAAGGGAGGTATAACGAAGTTATATTATTTACTTGATATTCTTCATTTTATAACTTCAATTCCATTGTAAGTTAAAGTTATATCATTTTATTTATTATTAGTCACAAAATAATATATTTAGCAATGTAAAATTACATTAATATATTAATTGATATATAAATAGGCATAATATAAATGAAAAAATAATATTTTGAAATAGCTTCAATACAATTGAGAGAAAAAGATGTTTTTGTACAACTTAGCCTTTATATATAAATTGAAAGCAAATTATAAATAAATTTTTAAATAGTTTCAATGTACTGAGTAATATTTTCTTTTTGAGTTGAATAATAGAATTCGAGTGTTCTTTATAAGTATGTGGACTGGTTTCTTTCTTCCAAATATTTGCACCTACACAAATAAAAATATTTTACAAATAACATCAGGATTTAAAAGTAATATGTTTCAAACCTAAATTATATGTAACATCTTAACTTACTTATAACATGTATCATATATTATTTTTATGTGACTTGTATCAGTAAAAATATGAATTAAATTCGACATCAAACAAATATGTTTTAGAATGACATATAATTCATATATTTAACATATTTTACGTTGTTATGTCATTCTAAAACATATGTTTGGTATTAAATTTAATTTAAACTTTTATAGATACAAGTCACATAAAAATAATATATGATACATGTTACAAGTAAGTTAAGATGCTACATATATTTTAGGTTTGAAACATATTACGTTAAATTAATGACGTTATTCGTAAAATATGTTTATTTGTGTAGGTGCAAAGATTTGGAAGAAATAAATTAATACATAAACTTAACATATTTTACGTTGTTATGTCATTCTAAAATATATTTGTTTGATGTTAAATTTAATTCATGTTTTTACTGATACAAATCATATAAAAATAATATATGATACATGTTACAAGTAAGTTATGATGTTACATATAATTTAGGTTTGAAACATATTACGTTTAATTTCTGCCATTATTCGTAAAATATGTTTATTTATGTAGGTGCAAAAATTTGGAAAAAAGAAATTAATCCATAAACTAAACATGTTTTACGTTGTTATGTCATTCTAAAACATATTTGTTTAATGTTGAATTTAATTTGATTTTTTATTGATACAAGTCACATAAAAAATAATATATGATACATGTTACTGCAGAGGGCTTGTGGAAAGAATTACTCGCAGGATTAACCATTGGTCCTCTAACTTCCTCTCCTATGCAAGTAGGGTTTAGTTTATTCAATCAGTGCTGTTTAGCATGGTCAACTACTGGTCCAGTATTTTTGTTCTTCCTAAGTTAATGCTTGCTGAAATTAATCAACTGATGAAGAACTTTCTTTGGACGGGCACTGAAGACAAGTACTCAGGGGTGAAAGTGGCTTGGACTAGAGTCTGTCAACCTAAAGAGTGTGGTGGACTTGGGTTTAGATGCTTGGAAACT